GGAGGAAGGGTGTTGTGGGTCTGGGCTCACTCAGAGATTCACCATGACCTTGAAAAAATTTTAACTAATAAGAGGCTTTATTAAATACTGGTACCAGGTCTGCAGCTGAGATTCAGGATTCTCAAAAATGCAGCACCTAGTCATATTTGCCCTGTGCTTATAAAGGCAGAAACCACAAACTTACATATTCTGTGATGCCTAACTTTTACAACAGACACCCTGGTGACAGAGGTTTCTGTCCCACCAGGTCCCACATCTGTTTAGTCCCAAATAAATGCACAGAGGCCTCCATTAATTATAAACTGATTGGCCTATTAGTTCAGGCTCCTTATTAACTGTTATAACTTATATTAGCCCATAATTCTTGTCTGTGTTAGCCATGTGGCTTGATACCTTTTTCAGGGAGGCAGTCACATCTTGCTTCCTCTGTGTCTGTGACTGTAGACTGAGCTTTGCTCTTCCCAGAATTTTCCTGTTCTTGTAGCCCTGCCTCTACTTCCTGTCTGGTTGTTCCACCTATACTTCCTGCCTGACTACTGACCAATCAGTATGTTATTAAAAATAATACAAGTCACAGGATAAAAGACCATTGTACCACAACAAACATCCAATATATGTCTTCATTATCTCTATTTGGCTCAGGGCTTCACCCCGGCTCGTGAATAAGCTCCCTCCCCTGGGAGTTGCCTCTATCCAAACTTCACCTCTGAGAAAGCCGCCAGACAGTGACTCCTTCCCAGGAAAGGTCAAGACTACTCCCACAGGCTATTTAAACTGCCCCCCAGAGAGAATGAACACATGATCTCTGGGTTTCCTATGGTCTCCTCTGTTCTCTCTCTCTCTCTCTCTCTCTCTCTCTCTCTCTCTCTCTCTCTCTCTCCCTCTCCATGTTTTCTTTTTCTTTTTTTAAAAAATATTTATTTATTTATTTATTTATTATGTATACAATATTCTGTGTGTATGCCTGTAGGCCAAAAGAGGGCACCAGACCTCATTACAGATGGTTGTGAGCCACCATGTGGTTGCTAGGAATTGAACTCAGGACCTTTGGAAGAGCAGGCAATGTTCTTAACCTCTGAGCCATCTCTCCAGTCCCTCCATGTTTTCTCCATTAAACATGGGCATCTTTTAATTTGGTCTGATAAGGTATGATCAGGATTATTTGTGCTGGCGGAGAGGCTCGCTTAAGAGAAAATACTTAACAGTCTCCATCAAGGGAACAGTCTTTATTGAAGCAAAATTGTAGATTAGTCCCAGGACCCATTGTCTTGCAAGAACAACAGAGGCAGTAAAATTTACAAGGATAGACAGTTTCTTAAGATTAGCTCAGCTATTCCACTCCAGTAGCTATCTATCTTGAGCAAGATGTGATGGTGTATTTCACAAACTAGCAGCTTACAAACTGAAGCGTTTTTCTCATGGATTCTTTAAGTACAATAGGGTTTACATTGAGAACACATTATTCACTGTCACAGGGAAGCCCAGGAGCTGGACAAGTTTAGGGCAGAGGGCAGGGTGGACTCTGTAACTGGTTACTTGAGATGCTGAGACAGTCTGGAGGCCAGCATGCACTTCGATATGCTAACAGGCACCACTATTAGCCATTTGCTCCCAGCTTCTTTTGGACATGACACTAAGTTCCACTACAGAAGAGAAAATTATCTAGTATCCATTATCTTAAAGCCAGGATAACAGGAACCACCACCACCACAACCACCATGACGACCACCACAATCACCATCACCACACCACCGCAATCACCACACCACCACCACCACCAACATCATCTTCACACCACCACCACCCCTTTGGACTTCTTTTGATAATAAAACCAGCAAGTGCACAGTACAGTTGTGTTCCATTCAGGGATTTATTTAATTTTTTTCTTTCTTTTTTTTTTCTTGGTTTTTTGAGACAGGGTTTCTCTGTAGCTTTGGAGCCTGTCCTGGAACTAGCTCTTATACACCAGGCTGGCCTCTAACTCATGAAAATCTGCCTGCCTCTGCCTCCCAGTGCTGGGATTAAAGGCGTGTGTCACCACCTCCTCCATTCAGGAATTTCTAATGTTTTCTTCCAACTGCATCCTTGCTGCCACTGCTACCCATGCAGACCAACATTTGATCTTTTATTCCCTGTCATTTCCCTATTCCATCATTTTCCATCTTCCCAATCCTGCCTCCTCCTCTACCTCCTTTTACTTCCTTCCCACTCTCTGCTTCCTCTCTCCTTTCTTTCTTGTCCTCTTCTCTCCTTTGCCTGTCATCCACAACTGTCCTTTCTGCTTGCTTTTCTCAGGAGACAGTACTCTAAGCAGCAACTGAGCCAAAATGCTTCAGTCCACCATTATATTGCCAAACCTTCAGGTGCTCAAATGTTAAAAAAAAAAAAAAAAAAAAAAAAAAAAACCAATACTGTTGGGGACCAGCCATGACAAAAATACCTCTCGTCAGGGTAATGGTGTGGGGATTAGAAATATGGTAAAGAATATGAAGATGTGAATGAAAATAATAAAACAGAGAAATAGAATAGTATCAGGAGGGAATTCCAGTGAGTCTGAAAATTCGCCCCTGTTTAATTTCCAACTGCTTAAGGTAGGAGTAAGAAAAAAAAAACTGCATTAACACGACACAAGGAAATGAAATTACCAATTGAAAGTCTCACACTACATCATAGTTAAACATTTTGATGCTAGAACAAAACAAGTCACACTTACACCCTAGACCAAAACATTCTGTAGGCAAACCACTCTCTGGGTGGAATCCCAGGTTATCTCCATAAAGGGAACTGGAACTTAGTTGGATCCTTAGACTTTTGTTTGAGGTAGGAACAGATATACTTCTTTATTCCTGGATCACAAAGTCTGGCTATCAGCCACACCTGATGACAATAACGTTGAGAGAGCAGAACTCTCTGACCAACATCTAGGTGGGACCTTTGTTTTGAGGTAGAAGCACCAAACCTTAAAAGAATAGAGGAAAGTGCCAACTCTCTGACTTGGTCACCGTGGAAATAGGCTCATAATTTCAGGCCTCCACACAAAACTTAATGGCTTTGAAAATTAATAACACACACACAGAAGTACGTGCAGATGGTCTGCCCCATAGCGCTCAGTGAATTCTATCTGTTCATTTCATTTCTCACCCTTTCTCCTTCTCTTCAGCTAAGCTTAGAGTCTAGAGCAAAGGGATTCTAAGCGGTGAAGTCCACGGCAACATCACCATGACTTTAAAACAAATGTGTCCTCTTCGACCTAATCTTAGCATCAAAAAGTTCAAACTCTTAATCTTCTCTACATCCACTACATTACTTCTGACCAATCTAGATGTTGCGATCATGTAAGAAGATGCCTCTCCACTCCTACAAAAGTTTGCACTAGACATTCTGAGGAAAAGCAAGGGGTTTGTTTTGTATGGCCTTGCTATAGTGGCAGAAGTTGTTTTGTTTAGGGAAATATAAAGTATTAGAAACAACCAAATATTTTCTTCTTTATCAAAATTAACCAAAACTAGGTGTGACAATGCACAGCTGCAATCCCAACTCCCAGGATGCTGAGGCAAGATTGTGAATTCAAGTTCACCCTAGGCTACTAAGAAGACCCCATTTCAAAATAATAATAATAATCTTTATGAAATTAGAGACCGTTATGTTGAGGAGTATTACCTAAAATGTAGTAAGATGGGGAAGTCTACATATTGTTTGTGATCAGTACAGAAACTAAAAATGTTTCTAAACATTTTCATTTAGAATTTGTCATTGTCCTGATGGACAAGTTCCTGATTGGTGAACTTTGTTATCTGAGAACCCAACGATTCAGATATCATATTATTGAGCCGCACAAGGCTGGAGCTGCTCTTTGGTAATGTATAAAGGTTTCACACGCTGGCCAACTAGAGACTGAGAGCAAAGGAGTAAAAGACTGACCTTCGGAATCAAGTAGACTGAAAACTATGCCAGCATCTTATATTGTTGGGTAACTGATCTGTCAATATTCAAGATTTTTTTTTTTTTTTTTTTTTTTTTTTTTTTTTTTTTTTTTTTTTTTTTTTTTTTTTTTTTGGTTTTTCGAGACAGGGTTTCTCTGTAGCTTTGGAGCCTGTCCTGGAACTCCCTCTGTAGACCAGGCTGGTCTCAAACTCACAGAGATCAGCCTGCCTCTGCCTCCCGAGTGCTGGGATTAAAGGCTTGCGCCACCATCGCCCGGCTAAGAGTTAATTTTTAAAGAAGAAACATCAAATGATATTTGTGTATTTCTCATAAAAATTTGTAAAAATTGTTTTTCGTTTTTCTCCTTCCTATCAGATTTCTGGCAAAAAAAAAAAATCGCTGGTTCAAAGCCTTCATCATTGAGAGCACCCTGCCGTCTTGTGTTGTTGATGTCGGCTGTAACAGATGCCCCTTTTCTTAGACTTAGCCCAAAGAGTTAAGACAATCTTAGCCCCAGAGCAAGTGCTTCAAATGGGGCTTTTAAGTCCATTTTCAAAAAATGGAAAGTACATTAGAGAACAAAAAGAAAAACAGTTCCCCGTCTCATTATTTATTTACCAATTTATCTACTTGGGAGATTATGTAGCCCACACTAGCCTGGAACTCGCCGTCGGCCTTGATCTCACAGAGTTGTCTCACTGGGATTGAAGGCGTGCACCAACCACCACACCAGGCTCTCCCGGAGCTTTAAACAGGACTTCAAGATCTTAGAGACAATCTGCTTGATCTCAAAATGCACTATTTAGAATGAACCGTTTTCTACATTGTTGTATGGCAGAATCATGGGGGAGCCCCGACAGCGTCTACCAAATATCCTCGTTCAAATCACGACCAAAAGGGAATAAGAGAAGCTGTAGGTTCGAGCACACTTAGACCGATTCCTAGAGAGTAAGGTAGTCTCTGAGACTAGACTACTTAGAAGGAAAAACAACAAATCCCAGGATGCCCAAGTGACAGCCTACAACTCCCAGCATGCTCGAGGAGGAACACAGTGGCTGCGCAGATTGGCGCGCGGGTGCTCCTGGGCCGTCAGCATGGCTGCCTTCGCAGATTTGGACATAAGAGCGGGCTCGGACCTGAAGGCTCTGCGCGGGCTGGTGGAGACCGCTGCTCACCGTGAGTCTGTTATCTTCGCGCCCGAGCCCTGCCCTCGCTATCCCTCATACCATCCAGTTTTCTCGGTAGTTTCTCCAGGCGCCATTTCTGTCTCTCGTGGAGTCTGCCTGGCAGAAGATGCCGTGTCGCCCGGATCCCCGGCGTGGGCGACTCACAGGCTCCTGAAGAAGCAGTTGTTGCTTGGGCTTGCCCAGACTTTCGCTCAGAGGGAGAGAACAGAGGCCAAAGCGGCCGAGGGATTGGCACGGGGCCTGTGGAGTGATGGATGGTAGAAACTGGGACTGGACTCCGGGTGTACAGTCCCCTCAAAGCCGGTGCTTTTTAATATCAGTCCTTTTTGACTCACACGACATCTGTCAAATACAGAAAACAGGGTCACAGGCAAGAACTGCTGTGGAAGCTTAGAGAATGGGGAAGCTATTACCTTATTTCTCTCATACATTGAAAGTTCCTTGAGGATGAGCATTGCTCTTGTGTGCTCTCACCTGGGATAGGGTCTGTCGAATGACGGATGCTCAAATACCTTTGAGAGGAAGGAAACTAGGGAGTTACCTGACTAGGTGATAAGAGGAAGGACCGCTATTTTGTCATTACCTAACATTATCTTTTAATACTAATACCCTATCATCCTGAAGTATTTAGACAACTTAAAAGACAGGAGGCGTGATTTAGATGTAGGGAGACAGAGAGACATCATACTTGTTCAGACAGCGCTAACTGTTGGGATAATAAGGCAAACCCCTAGTTTGTTCGCTGTGTTCCCTGCCCATTACTGTAGATTACCCCAAGAGAGGTATAAGGGAGTCATTCCTCCGTTGTGCGTTAGGAAAGAGAGGAAATAGAAAGAGCCTCGCAGGAGAAATGAATGGTAATGGAGGTGGCAGAAAGACACATAAACTTGATGGAATAAAAATGAACAGAGACAGGAAATCCCGGGAATGTTGTGTGGCATTTTAGTATCGTGTGAACATAAATCAGAGCAGAGCCTGAATATGTATGTGCCTGGCACTCTCCTAAAATGCAAGGGCTTTTGCACTTAATTTTCATGACACTTGAAAGTGCTATCGGCTATTAACATCGCTTGAAAAGATGAAGAACTTGAAACCTTAAGTAAATGGTAGTGCTTAGATTTGCCTCCTGCCCCGCCCACTTATTTTCCAGGTCTGGAACTAGAACCCAGGGCTTCGTGTATGCTAAGCAAGTATTCTAACAGCTACGTCCTGAACCTCATCTCATACTCCTGAATCTAAGATCGGGATCATCATTGTGAACAAGAAAGACTATTTTTTAAATACTCAATTTTTTTTTTCAGTTGGATATTCAGTTGTTGCCATCAATCATATTGTTGACTTTAAGGACAAGAAACAGGTAAAATAAGATTTCTCATATTAATTAGTTAATAGATATTAAGAATTTGTGAATATTTGTGTCTGTCGGGAATAAGGAACTAGAAATAAGTGTTGTATTAGTTACTCATCTTGTTGCTATGACCACATACTTGGACAAAAACAACATGAGGGAGGAGAAGTTTGTTTTGCTTTTCCTTTGAAGGTACAGTCCATCTTGGCCGCAGGAGCATAAAGTGGCTGGTCACAGTTTCTCCTCAGTCAGGAAGCAGGAGGAGATGAATGCTGGGTCTCAGCTCATTTTCTCCTTTTCAGTTAGTTCGCTTAGGACCCCAACCCATGAAATAGCACAGCTCGCATTCAGGGTGGATCCTCCCTCCTGGGCTAATCCTTTATGGAAACACCATTAAAGAAATGCAGAAATGTGCTCCCATCATCATTTTAAATCAAGTCAAATTGGTAGTGAAGGCTAAGTCATCACAAGTATGTTTCGTTTTTGTTTGGTTTTTTGTTTCTGGTCCGGGATTTACTGTGTTGCCAAGGATGACCTCCTGCCTCTGCCGTCCAACTGCTGAGATTACAAGCCCATACCTAATTTATGAAATGCTGGGATAGAATTTCTGGCTTGGGAGCCGGGCGATGGTGGCGCACGCCTTTAATCCCAGCACTCGGGAGGCAGAGGCAGGCGAATTTCTGTGAGTTCGAGACCAGCCTGGTCTACAGAGCTAGTTCCAGGACAGGCTCCAAAGCCACAGAGAAACCCTGTCTCGAAAAACCAAAAAAAAAAAAAAACATTTCTGGCTTGGCTGTGTGCATTAGAAAGCACTCTACCAATTGAACTGCATTGTAGCAAGTCTTTCTTTGTACTACCAGCTCCCAATAGTGACCGGAGACTTATTAATTATGAAAGCTTGGCCTTAGCTTAGGCTTGTTTCTAACTATCTCTTATAACTTAACCCATTTCTATTAATCTGCATACTGCCACGTAGCTCGTGGCTTTTGCCTGTCCTACTTGCTTCCTACTTGTCTTGCTTCCTCAGAGTATGGCTGGCGACTCCCCGTTTCTTCTTCCCAGAGCTCTTTTTGTCCAGAAGTTCCACCTATACCTCCTGCTTAGCTATTGGCCATTTAGAATTTTATTAAACCCATCACAGTGCCATATCTTTACACGGTGTAATCAAATATCTCACAAGAGTGCCTCTCCAAACTTTCTACCAACTGAGCTGCATCCCCAACCCTCAACTGTTTTTCTTAAAAACACCCTGTGCTTAATATTTTACATTAATAATTGAACTGGTATATATTCATACAAATTCAAAGATGTTTAAAATTGCATTGCTGTTAAATGAGCTGTAACCTCAATATCTTGTTGTTTACTTTGCTGCCATGGTCTTATTAACTCACTGATTTTTTTTTTTCTCTTTAATAGACTATCAGATATGTGTATTCTTAGGCAAACAACTGTATCTTGTAGGTCATTTCTGGCTTCAAAATTTGTTCTTATTTTTATCCTCTGATGTTCTTAGCAGATTCTCTGCTCTTTAGTTTCTATCCTTAAAAAAAAGAGAGAGAGAGAAAACTAGTTAGTAAATTTGAATGCCAGAAATTAGCTCTTTTTTTTTTCCCGAGATACTCTTAAAGTGTTTTGTGTGTTTTATTCTTTAACGTGTAGCTGTAATTATCGTTTATTGTAGGAGATTGAAAAGCCAGTAGCAGTTTCTGAACTCTTCACAACTTTACCAATTGTACAGGTAGGTGGTTTACTCTTTAAGTGTAGAGTCTGTTCATTTAATTCAGACATGCCCACCCTTGTGAGGTGTTCTCTAACTTCAGCGGCTCCTGCCTTCTGCCAGGTCAGCCTTGCCACTGGGGCTCCCCTCTTCATCACTTTCTTACTGTCCATCAGTGCTTGTTTGGTATCCTCCTAAAGCCTGACAGCGTTTAAATTATCTCATCATGTAGTTTACTAGATGTACATAGTATTTTCTTCTGCTATTATAAATACCTAGGACAGGCATGCTTTGTTGATCTTCACTGTCCTTTGTAACTTTTAATATTTTTCATTGATAAAAAGGAAATGAATCAATTGCTTTTTTTAATAATGTATTTTTGTTTGTAGGGAAAATCAAGACCGATTAAAATTTTAACTAGATTGACAATTATAGTTACAGATCCGTCTCACTGTAATGTTTTGGTGAGTTCATTATTTTTCTACGTTTGACTTTCTAAACTATGTTAACTAATGTTATCACATTTTATCTCACCCCGTTCTCCCACCACCCGTGTGCCTCAAATCCATGACACCTGCCTGCTTTCTCTGTGTGTAGAAGCTGCACTATATGTAATGTGTCTCTTCCAAAAAGTTAGAAGGTGCCAGTGAACAGAGAAGAAATACCATACATTATTCCAGCACTTGGGGATTGTACATTTTGAATGTATTTTTTTCATTCTCATATACAGCATCAGGTTTGAGGTTTTCTCTGTTAAGCAGTAACTGTGTTTTACTGATATCGTCTCCTTTCCTAGAACAGAAGTATTTTCTTATACACCTGGCATTTTAATTTTATTGAGCAGAATTTTTATTGTGAGCTTGTGTGTCACAATCGTGTGAATTATCCACAACACGTGAAATAGTCTTATCTGGCTCTATCTAGGAAAAATGCTAATTCCATTGATGGTTGTCGTAGTTAGGATTTATGTTGTCATAAAACACCATGACCAAAAGCAACTTTGGCAGGAAAGTGTTTATTTCAGTTTACAGTTTCACATCATAGTCCGTCATTTCATTAAAGAAAGTCAGGGCAGGAACTTGAGGCAGGACCCTGGAGGGAGGAACTGGTGCGGAGGTCCTGAGGAATGATGCTTTCTGTCTTGCTCCTCATAGTTCGTTCAGTGTGCTTTTTTGGAGCACCCAGGACCACCATCGTAAGAGTGGCGCTGCCCATAGCGAGCTAACCTTCTCACGTCAATCATCATTCAAGAAAATGCATCACAGGCTTGCCCACAGGCCAGTCCAATAGAGGCATTTTCTCAATTGAAGTTTCCTCTTCCCACATGCCTCTAGCTGTCGAGGTGTTAAACCATAACTTTCCTATCTTGTTCATCCCCGGGATCTCACATATGTAATAGTATCATAATATAAAGCATTCCAACTTTTAACATTCCTACAGTCTTTACAAATTCAACACTCTAAAAGTTCAGTTTTGCCAGGCAGTAGTGGCACACGCCTTTCATCTCAGCTCTCAGAAGGCAGAGGCAGGCAGATCTCTTGAGTTTGAGGCCAGCCTGGTCTACAGAACAAGTTCCAGAATAACCAAGGATACACAGAGAAACCCTGTCTCAAAAACAAATAACAGGGCTGAAGAGATGACTTGAGTTAAGAGCACTGGCTGCTCTTCCAGAGGTCCTGAGTTCAGTTACCAGCAACCCCATGGTGACTAACTCACAGCCTTCTCTAATGGGATCTGATGCCCTTGTCTGGCCTGCAGGTGTACATGCAGAGAATGTATACAAAAAACATAAATGATTAAAAAGTTTTAAAATTGAGTCTCTTTAAAATATCCTAAGTCTTTTTCAAAGTTCAGTCTTCTCTAAAATATCCAAATTCTCTGTAAAATTGCTCAGTCTCTTAACTATGGGCTCTGTAAAATAAAAAGTTACATTCTGTCTTATTCCAGGAAACCAGAGACCAGCTGTCTTCATGTTTCCTTTTCCCATACACACAAGGCTGCAAGCTCACAGTACCTTCTAGAGCTCAGTCATATTTATTGTCATGGAAAAAAATTTATCCACACGTACATAGATTAATAACTTTGCACAATATAAAACTGTCTTGGCATTTACTCTTGGTTCTATTTAAAAAAAGTGACATTTCTCTGTATTTTCTGAATGGTTTGAAATCTACGTTAGAAAGAACCTTTGTTCTAAAAGGCTCCCACCTTTGTTGCCTTCGTGTCAGTCACAGAAATCCAGCCACTATCAGTGATTCAAGTTCATAGTCTCCTGTGTCAGCTCTTGAGTCAGTCGTGAACACAGGGCTTGCAGCCAGGTGTGGTAACTCAGACCCCAGCACTCAGCAGGCTGAGGCAGCAGGACTGGTTTAAGCTTGAGGATGTTGAGTGTTGCTAGATGACCAGGCTTCTGTTTATGTATTTTGTTACTGTATGATAACATTCATTTTTGTCTTATAGAGAGCAACTTCTTCAAGGGTCCGGCTGTATGATATTGTTGCAGTGTTTCCAAAGACAGAAAAACTTTTTCATGTAAGTGACCAGTGAAAGAGAATAATGTTTCTCTTTAATGTAATAATGTAAATCTGCTGTTATACCACAGTAGATACCTCTGTTCTCTGTTCTAGTTTTGTCTCTGTTGCTATAATAACATAACTGGACAAAAAGCAACAGGGGAGAAAGGATTAGTTACTGTTCATTGTTATGGAAAATCAAAGCAGGAATTTCAAACAGCTGCCGATCATACTCTGTTCCATTCTTCAAGACACCACCATGACCACACCCCCAACTGGGGAATGGTGCTGCCCACAGTGTGCTATCTTCCCTCATTGGTTGTCTTAATTAAGGTACTTCCTCATAATGCATGGTCAGGTCAGTTCAACATAGATAGTCCCTCGCTGAGACTGTCTTCCCAAGTTTAAGCGTTTATCTAATTATTCTTTGTCAATAAAAACTCAGGAGTCAGATATTGAGTTAAGAACCTGAATGAGGGGAAGGGAATGAGGGGAGCGGGAGGGAAATGGGAGGAGGTGGAAATTTTTAATTAAATAATAAAAAAAAAAGAACCTGAATGATCAGAGAAGTGGCAGAGAAGCAACCAGTGACCTCCTCTCTCTCCCCTCCCCTTCCAAAAGGGCCAAGCATCTTTCTAAGCCCCACCCTACTACTTCCTGTGTCTGTCTATATGTCCTCTGTCTTCCAAAACCTCTCTGGCAAATTTTGGTCAGCTAGTAGTTAGCTCCACTTTCTGATTCAAAGTAAACCTTATTGTCATTCTCGGGTGTGTCAGAGTGTGATCACTTTCCCACAACACCAGATGAATCTGAGTCGTGTAAAGTTTACAATTAGAGCTAACCTTCTGGTGTGGGAGGTCCTTCTCTCTATATTTTGCTTTTATTGATTAATGAATAAAGAAACTGTCTTGGCCTGTGATAGGGCAAAAGAACAGAGCTAGGTGGAGAAAGCTAAAGTGAATGCTGGGAGAAAGACAGAGTCAGAGAGACATGCTGAAACTTTGCTGGTAGGCCACGACCTCATGGTGATGCACAGATTAATAGAAATGGGTTAAATTAATATGTAAGAGTTAGCCAATAAGAAGCTAGAGCTAATGGGCCAAGCAGTGGTTTAATTAATATAGTTTCTGTGAGATTATTTCGGGGCTGGGCAGCCGGGAACGAATAAGCGGCTCTCTCCTGCAACAACTGTCAGAGGCCCTATCTGGAAACTTTTATTGTTTTCTGTTTGTGCTCAAAAGTCATAGGATTTCATAGGGGCAGATTTAAGTGGCATGTCAGTTGGCTTTAGTCATCCTGCTAGACATTTGATGGATTCAGTATGGAAGAGCTCCTGAGTTTTCTCCTGTTTCTTTCTCTATACTGTGTTCATTTGAAATTGCTCCCTGGTAAATTTATCTCTTTGTATTCGGGATCCACTTCAATTTCCGGCCTTATCCACTCCTGCCTTTGACAGAGGAAAAAAGCAAGCGCCTCTCTGGTCCAGGTGTCTCCTTTGCCAGCTCTGAGATATAACCCATATATATGCCAGTGAGAGTGTCAGCCCTTAGTTTTCCAGAAATCCTCAGAATCACTATATGCTAATATGATTCCCCTTCCTGTTCTTGAGAGCCTTTGTGAATTGAATTCCTCTTATTCTATTAAAATTTCCTGTTGACTTTTCAGAAGAGGAGTTTAGCACGTGAGCTCATTTTGTCTTCCAGATAGATGCCCTATTCTTTCAAATGATTACAGTGGGCAAAAAAGACTGAAATACTCTTTTAAGGATTGCTTTTAAGGAATGCCTTTTTTAAGGACTACTGAGAAAAAAGAAGCATAATTACTTTTAGATGGAATTATGAATGTTTTTCTTAAAGTCTCAAAAAGGATCCATCTAACAAAGTAATATTGCAGGAAAAAATACTGGTCTCACATCCTTTTAACTTTACATTTTTTTCTTTTAACTATAGTATTCTCTTTTTTGTTCTTTTTTTTAATTATTTATTTATTATGTATACAATATTCTGTCTGTGTGTATGCCTGCAGGCCAGAAGAGAGCATCAGATCTCATTACAGATGGTTGTGAGCCACCATGTGGTTGCTGGGAATTGAACTCAGGACCTTTGGAAGAGCAGGCAATGCTCTTAACCTCTGAGCCATCTCTCCAGCCCCTGTTGTTTATTTTTGAGATTATAACTTAATTAGGTTTTTCTCTTCCCTTTTCTTCCTCCAAATCCTCCCATATACCTTTCCCCATTCTCTTTCAAATTCATGTCCTCTTTCTTCTTTAATTTCTATTGTATACATATGTGTATTTGTATATTCTATATATTTCTAAATTTAACCTGTTGGATCCATATCATATAAATGTTACTTGTATGTATGTTTTCAGAGCTGACCGGCTTTTAAGCAAAATTTGTACTAAAATTATAGACAACTCTTTTTACCCTAAGTTTATCCAGCAGAGGGAGCCATTGACTAAGGAGACTGGTGCCACATCCTAGGTTAATTGCTAGTTATGTTAATAGAGGGAAACACCAGAGAACCACAGGTTATCTGGGCTGCCTGTGTGCGAACACACACACCACAGCACCTGGTTTTTGGTGGCTTCTTTTATGAAATGAAAGATTGTATTAATTCTCCAGTATTTGATTATAAATTAAGGAATGAGTAGAAGCAAATATTCAGTCATCAAAGACCTATGGACCAGCACTTCAGAGGTGGAGGCAGATGGATCTCTGTGTTTGACACCAGCTTGTTTACATAGTGAGTTCCAGGACAACCACCATACCCGGCAGGGAAGTAGCTTTAAAAAGTTCTGGTTTTGTGCTGCTCCTAAAATCTTTGAAACCTTGCCTTTGCAGGATGCTGCTGTAGAATGTCTGCACAAAGGGAGCATCTCTCAAGAGATAGCCTCTAAGTCTTTTGGCTTCAGATTTATCTGGGATTAATATTCAATTGCAGATTATTAGGCTTTATTTACTGAATCAGTCACTGTCATAGTTTTTAGGTGAATTTTGTGCAGTTGAGAGCTACTGTCAATGGGCACCCCCTGCCTTGGCAGGCCTGACTTTTCCTTGTGTAGTATAGTAAGTGCTGACGCCAGTAAAACACCCAGGATGAAGGGATGCTGAGCCCTGCCCTCCTGTGCCTTGTGTTCACAGCAGCAAAAATATGCATATATTTGTACATTTTTGTGGGGACAATTTTTTTTTAAACTATCATATATGTCTCTGCCTCTTCCAAAAAAAAAGTTAAAGATGACAAAGTGAATTCATATACAGTCTACCAATTTTCAGAGAGAACTGAGATACTTAGCTCCAAAACTATTTTAGACATAATTAAGTTGTTTTAATGATTTGGGGAATATTAGATTAAGCCTCCCCAGTGCTAGGAATATGGACATGTGCCCCTGCTTCACATAGTTCTTTGAGTGACCTAGTTGAACATTTAACTGTCTAACAAGCCTATTACAAGGTCCTATAAGAGACCAAGGGGATTGTAATTTACTTAAGTAAAATGGAAACTTTTTTTACTCTTTCTTGTCTTTGTGATTGTTCCGGCAGTAACTGTTCTTGCATTATTGTCTTTAGTCTGTGTGGAATTTATAGCTATAGAATATAGTAAAGTCCCTATACGATATGTCTCTGTAAGTGATAGTGCTGATACGAACATATGAATTGTTAATGTTTCCTGGGGCTGTGACTTGGTGGTAGAACATTTGGCATGCTCAACACCCTGGTCTGGTCCTCAGCAACAATGGAGTGAAATATTGATGCTCTTGTCATCCTGACCTTCACTGTGCTCCTAAAAGTGGACAGATGCTTAACTCAGCTCCATTCCTCTGCAGGACTTTTCTTCATTCTGAGCAAAGTCTCTGTTGTTCTTTGTGAGTTAGACAGCTGGAGCAGTTGGGATGGGCAGATGCTTTAGGAGCCAAGAGTTTCTGCCAAAACAACATAGTTTCCCAGGCTTACCGTGTAACTATGACCATCTTCAAACCAGATGGTCTCTGCTGACTACTAAGCCGTGGGCTGGGGCAGGAGTGACCAAAGCTGGCATTCTGAGGAAAATGGGTGAGATGTGACATCTGTCACTGCTGAAGAACTGTGCCCATCCCACAGGCATTACCAGCATTTTGTTTCCCCTTGCTCCTTACACCACGCTCTCCTGTTCTTGCTGTAGACACTGGCTCACCGAGTTTGCTCATGCAGACTGTGTGCATCAGCATTCTGAGTAGGTGGGTTTGTTTTTTTTTGTTTAATTTTCCTCACGTGTATGAGTATCTGCTGCGTGTATTTATGTGCAGCACATGTTTGCCTGATGCCCACAGAGGACAGAAAGGGTGTTGGATCCCCTGAAACTGGAGTTATGGATGGTTGTGAACCATCATGTGCGTTCTGGAAAGTGAACCCAGGTCCTCTGAAAAAGCAACAAATAGATGCTTTTAACTGCCGAGCCATCTCTCTAATGTCAACAGGGACATTGTCAACATGGTACAAAACAGCCAATCTTTTTATTGTGAAATCAAGTAGTGGCTGAATGGTTGCTGTCTAGGTCTCTCCCGGCAGTATCTTCTGACTTGCTCTCTAATCTGTCCACCAATTTGCTTTCCTCTCTAATTTTTCTGTTTCTCCTGGTTGCCTTATCTGTTTCATTTATTCTGTATGTGGTTTGTATAATTACTTTCAAAATTCTTTAGGGGTGAGTGGAGGGAATAGATCAACAAGCAACGATGAAAATGCCCTCATTTGGTTTCTCTCAACTCTGCTTTAACCCTCTTAAAACTGTGAACAAAAGGCCTTCAGCCACACCATGCTGTTTCTTAGCCACAGTACAGTCTGGTTGGAACTATCATCCTGGACAATTCCTGGTGAAATGTGCTTACTAAATAGCTTGTGGAAAAGATGGACCATGTATGCATTCTTTTTGTCTTTCCAATTCCTTGGATTTTGGAACAATTACTTGCTGCTTTCTGGAATCATTAAAAGTAATATTCTAGATACTGATTTAAGTCACCAATTCAGTCATATATAAAAAGCTTTATGAATTAAAGGGCCTTTGGGCCTTAGCATTTGAGAACTAAACCATCAAAGCCAAGCCTGAAGGGGTAGTAAACAGCTGACCTTGTAATAGGCTTGTTAGACAGTTAGCACAGAACTGTCATGACGCCTGTAGAATCAGCCCTACTGTTTATGTTTCTGTATGCTGGGTATGACCATGTCTCTCATTCCACCGCATGCCAGTTTTCTGTTAATCTAGTTTTTCTTCTTGACAGGTTGCTTGCACACATTTAGATGTGGATTTAGTCTGTATAACTGTAACCGAGAAATTACCATTTTACTTCAAAAGACCCCCTATTAATGTGGTAAGTGCTGTTCTTTCTGCTCTAAACTTGAATCTGTAGAAACAGTGTCTGCAGACTAGAAAAAAAGCTAAAGAAACCTGTGTTCTTAGGGACTGGCGCCTGGGTACTTGGTAATTGGAGCAGATTCAGAAAAGAGAATTTTGGTTTTATAAGCTGACTAAAAGAGAAAGTTTAAAATAGAAAGTGTCTAAGCTGGGAGCCACGGGGTAGCTCAGTGGGTAAAGTGTTTGCTGTGCAGACATGAGGCTAGGAGTGTGGATCCCAGCGCCCACACTAACCAGCAGCATGGCAACCTGCTCATAATCTCAGCATGCGGAAAACTGAGGCAAGAGCAATCTAGTAGCTAGAGAAACTGAATCAGCCAGCTCTGGGTTCAGGTGTGAGGCCCAGCATCCGATGTCTCCCTCTGGCCTCCACACATGCTGTTCGTGAACACACACAAACACACACAAATAAAATATCTAAGATGATTATGTGGTACTCCTGGTTATGCAAGAGGCACTTGAGCCAGAAGTTCAAGACCAACAGCAACACACTGAGGCCCTGTCTACCCCCGGACAACCAAAATATTAATGAATAAAAAGGATACTGTTAACTATTAAGGGTTTTTTTTGAAAGACTTAGGAATTCAGATTTATGAAGAACATTGTCAAGTTGATATTTAATGATGATAGCTATTTAAAACCTCAACATTGTGTTACGATGGAAAAGAAAAGGTGAAAAAAATGGCCACATGTGGGTGATGCACGCCTTTAATCCCAGCACTTGGGAGGTAGAGGCAGGTGGTTCTCTGAGTTCGAGGCCAGCCTGGTCTACAGAGAGAGTTCCAGGATAGCCAGGGCTACAAGAGAAACTCTGTCTTGTAAAAAACCAAACAAGCAAACAAAAAGTAACAAGAAAAAGAAAAGATAAAAAAGACAGGAGTCCTTGAGACACCTGAAAACTGTAATACAAAAGGAAATGGTGTGAAATCCCCAGGAATGGTGAGGTCACAGCATGCACTGTGGCGTGCCAGCTCCATGCAGAGCCGTTCCAGCAGGGCAGCCATGTGCTCAGGGTCCTGAGACGTTTCCTCATTACCCTACCTTGTTAGCTTCTCTTTTCCCTGTACCCTTCATCTTCCACCTGCCATGTTGCCTTCTAAGTCTCACACCCCTCCCCACTCCACTCCACCCCCATGTTCATTATAGAAAGGTAGTGTTGCCTCACACCAGTAATTGATTTGATAATTATGAGGTCACTGCAGCTGGTAACTATTTGCTTTGCTAGCCAGAACATAGGAATATTGTTTAGCGTACTGACTTCCAGAACTTAGTTATGTTATTAAAAACTATTACCCAAGAAAAGATTTAACAAGCTTTCCAAATCCCATGTTGAATTATGTCAGAATTCGATTGTTTTCAAAGTAGACAATTGCCTTATTCTTTAGCCTTCATAGAATTATATCTTCCTTGCTCTTGTCTCCTTTTTCCTAAAGAGTTTCTGATTGATCCTGTGTATTAGGGGCAACAGTAAGAGCTATCTGTTTGGTGTGGGGAAAACATAAGATGTATTCTAACCTTGGACTTACGCTACTAAGAGGGCTTTGGAAAAGTGCCAGAAATGTGTAGGGAAAACTGGAAGAGCTCTTCTGAGTGTGCTGCAGAACCTGAACCCCAACTGGGATGCTGGTAGCGCTTAAGAAGTGAGCTTTCTAAGCCCCAAGCATCACACACCTCAGTCCTGGGGGTCTATGTCATTCAGCAGCTCACTTCTCAGAAATGAGAAATGCAGATTGTCAAGTCATCTGGCGTCAGTCACAGGCTTCAGACAGATCTGATTGTGCCTGTCAGGTAAGATCTGTGTGCTCCACTCCTGGGAACAGCTCCAAACGCTTGCTGCTTAGGTACTGTTAGGTACAAAGGACCAAAGTTTATGGTCATCTCTTTTGAGTTGAAAAGACAATCTCTGCCTTGCAAGTTTGCCTCTACTTTTCACTGGTCTCAGACTGCCAGTACATCCCACAAAATAGCTTCCTGGAGTTAGACAGCTCAGCCACTGTGCATAGTTTTTGTTACATTTAGCAACATTTTACCCCAATAAAATAGGAAGTCCATTTTCTAGGCAGTTTGCCTGAATAAGCTTATGCACAGGAGGGAATGGTAACATGTGGTCAGAATATGGAAAGGAGCAGTGCACACCATCTAATTCCTTGTGGCACATGACAGTGGTCAGATTTCTAGAGACTTACGTTAGTGAGGCTTTATAATTGAGTCTCTCATGAGCATGCCTTACCATGAAAGCAGCCTGTGAGCTTCCATAGTACACCAGCTGTGGCAAGGTTTTTCCAGATACCCTAGTGCTAGCTGACCTATGAGACCTTCCTGAAATATGCTATCGAATCAGTATATCTAAATTAGCAGTAAGCATTTTGGGGAGTCTGGCCAAGATGCTTGTTATTAGTCATTAGGTAGTTGTCAGTGTTGGGCAGGAACATATGCAGGAAGGAAGTGGGGTACTAAGTTAGCATTAGGAGAGTGGCCCTCACAGCAGGCACCAGGACACTACCACCTGCCAATTCCATCTGGAAGTGCAGAAAAGTTGCTGAGTGTTTGATACTTCTTGGCATGATTTCCACATTTTCACTTTAGAAATTCTGAAAAGTAAAAAAAAAAAAAATTGACAGGAGGGATATGCAATATTTAACAGTGTCTGTTTTACACAGACACAGCCGTATGAACATTTTGCATATGTTGCTTAATAAAAGCTAGTTGGGGGTGTGGACAGAAGGCTGCATAGGATTACATGTAGTCTTCATCTGGTGTGTAAGTCTGTAGTGTGAGCTGGCCAGGAAGCAGGAAAGTTCCTGTTAATTTATTCACTCAATGTCAAGAAAGAGAGAAAGCTAGAGCCAGGTGCCCATATTTTTGTTTGGGGAAAATTGTACTATATAGGTGTGTGCAGCAAGACAGTGAGTCTGTCGGGGTAGAAACTGTGGTGTGTGCACACCGTGTGCACTTTTAAAATTTAATGAAACAGCAACTAGCGCTTCATGATGGCCAGGAAATGAAAGGACAAGGTCACGGTCCTGACATTCTTCCCAGTAGCTACCCCAAAAGATATTTCTTCCTTCCTCCAGGTTTGTGTCGGTTGTTGTCATCACTGAAATGTGACAAAGGCAGTGTCATGGAGAAAGCATGTGTGTCTGCTCAGTTTGTGGGGATGCAGCTCATCATGGTCGGGAAGGCGAGGCAGCTGCAGCATCTTACATGGAGATGCAGGACAGGAGGCAGGGTAGTCTGTAAAACCTCAGTGACCCACTTCTAAAGAGGTTCTACTTCCTAGAGGTTCCACAACTTCCCAGAACAGTGCCACCAGCTGGGGACCAAATGTCAAGCACATGGACTCGTGGGAGACATTTACATCACATTCCAAATGCATATGACTGCAAGTCTGAAATCAAGGTGTGAGCAGGCTGTACTCCTTCCAGAAATTAGTAAGGGAGCCTTTTTTTTTTTTTTTTGAGTCTTCCAGGCCAGTGGTGATTTGTTGACAGCTAGCGCCTTACAGCCACAGTAGCGCCATTGTCGTCAGCAAGCTTTCCTGTGAGTCTTGTAAGCCATCTTATAAGAACACCATTGAGATTAGGAGCTACTGTTTTCAGTATGACCTCCTCATCTTGGTTATACCTGCACTGGCTGTCTCTATAAACGGTTACAGTCTGAGATCTGAGATCCTGCAGGTTAGGAATGTAACATATGCTGACCCACTCTAGTGTTTGCTTATCCTGCAGCTAATTGGAAACAGCCCACTTCTGTTAGAAGCTTATGAAGCGCTGTACCTGTTGCACCCCTACAGTAAATGCTAGGCAGCTGTAAAAGAAAATTAAAGTTACAAGCGGACATGGGGAAGCTTTCAAATCAGGCAAGATAACTTAACAGGCTACTTTTTAAGTAAGAAAAGGAAACTGATGTGTATTCACAGTTGCTTATATTTGTGTGAAGAAGCTGGAGGAGCGCATAAAAAATCCATGAAAGCAGTTCCAGCAGTGGGGATAGGGCAGTAAGAGCAGATGCAAGGAGGACTTGCTCCTTCCTTCTGTGATTGGATCAGTGAGTCAGGAGAGGATGGAATCTTGCCGAATGATGCGCTGGAAGGCTATCTACCCTGAGTTCAGCGCAGGCACTGATTTTAAGGAAAGCATCAGCATGCTGCCCTGGAACAAACTCTTGGTTTCCATTCTTCCTTCTCCAAAGCTTAACTTAAGCTTTTAGTGCTTGCAGTCTTCGCATCAGTATCTCCTGATCCAGTTGTCACAGGCCGCCCTTGGTGACGTCATTGTGAGAAAAAGCTCTCATCCTCTGCCTATTCAGGCACTTCTGTTCAGACACGAGAACAAAAGCCAATCAGGCCGATGCTGTCCTTCTCTGTAAAGACATTGTTATGAACAATCATATGATGCACTTATAGCAATTTACATAAAAATGCTCTTAGGAGCAGGAGACCAGGTAATGACTGCATTTTATTCATCTAAATCAGTAAAGTTTTATGAAAGAAATACAGCCTTCAATAGCACATTATCTTTAATTTCTTTCTAAAGAGTGTTCATAGCAATTTTAGAGTGAACCTGATTAACGTACCAAGACCAGAATCATATGTGAAAGGAATTAAGCTGGTAATTGTATCCTATTTTCCCCAGTGCTCTCCCTCAAAGGGGTTTTATTTTGTTGTGGTTCCCAGACAGCTTTAAAATTTAAATTGACTCAGCTAGAAACCCTCAGGGATCTGATCGCCCACACCACATTGATCACGTCCCTAATTCCTGTCCTCATCCTACTGCCCTGCTACTAGAAGGTGGGGAAACAGGAGTCCGGCTCCTTTGTCCAGTTAGAGTTAGCAAAAGAAATAGCTTAATTCTCTTCATTGCAAACGTCTCTTTGCTCGCATGCACCAGAGCTCTGAGAAGGTCTCTGCTTTGACAGTAGTGAGTGGTGTGATCACATCTGTCGTGAACAGTCACTGCAGCCTTTAACAGTAGTGAGTGGTGTGACCACATCTGTTGTGAACAGTCACTGCAGCCTTTGACAGTAGTGACTGGTGTGAACACATCTGTTGTGAACGGACAGTCACTGTAGCCTTTGGCTGGGAAGCTGCATTACGTACTGGAGAATTTCAGTCCCACGCCTATGCCTTGTAGACTTTCCAACCTTAGAATACACCGAATGAGAAAGAACTTTTTCCCTCATGAAAAGACCAGGCCCATATAGCAAGCTAGGCAAGTCCTGAAGGGCCCAGATCTCTTTCACCGTTTTTCCTGAGCTACAGTGACCTTAAACAATGTTACTTAAGCAGAATGGGCTGGGACATGTACCAGCCACAGTTCTTAGCGCATTTCCTCGGACACAGCCTTTAGCCAGCCATGGCAGTTGTTCTTCTATCCAGTAGTGTGCAGTAAGTGACTTAGCTGTAAGGTTCCCGTTCCTGCTCACCAGGATCCTCTCCTCTTTTTTCCTTCATTCTTGGGTCAAGTTGCTCATTTTCCCTGCCTGTGGGAAGCACATCCTCTTCCTTGCACCGTTCATGGAGTAGTGGCTCTCTGCACCTCTGCCCTGAACCGACTGCTGTCCTCGGCCTCTGTACTTCCTGTTTGTGCGGTTAGCTTTCCTAAACTACCATCAGCTCTGTCAGTCAGATAGAGTTTGGTGTCTGTTTTCCTCACTTTGGGTCGGGGTGCAGAGGTGTGGGCCCCCCCCCCCTTTGTGTAAGCCAGTCCCTTGCTGTATAGGAGGTGTGCATAGGGGGAAAGAAGGTGGGAGAGACTGTTAATGTGCTTCTCTTTGACAGTTTCTATTTGTCTTCTTTATTTCTGCTCAAGGCAATTGACCGGGGTCTGGGCTTTGAGCTTGTCTATGGCCCTGCTATCAGAGACGCCACGATGAGAAGGTACACAATTTCCAACGCCCTCAGTTTGATGCAGATCTGCAGAGGAAAGGTACCGTGGCGGAGCCAAGGACACTTTTACTTCTGCGGGTGCTGCTGCTGTCAGCTCTCCCTGAGTCTTAATTTCCTCCCTTTCAGTGAACATTACAGGGCCTTGTAAAAACTGCCAAGGGAAGCCGGGCAGTGGTGGCAACAGCCTTTAATCCCAGTATTTGCAAGGCGGAGGAATCTCTGTAGGTTCAAGGCCAGCATGGTCTACCTAGTGAGTTCTGGGCTTGACTCTTGAAAAACCAAAACAAAACAAAAAGCCTCCCAGGGGAGAAGTAAGATATGGTGGGAAAAGATATTTGGAAAGCCCTTATTTTTCATGAGGAATTTGCAGTTTGCCACAATGAAAAGCCTCCTCTAGATAATGGTTGTTATCTCTGAGTGAATTAAAGATCCAGCTTTTAAACTTCATTCATCTGCACAAATAGGATTTGTTTATGAAGCTTATTCTGCCTATTGTTTTGGCTGCCTTGGGTGTGAGAGTTTTCAGTATTTGCACATGAATTATTTACCTTTAAAGGAAGTTGGTATTTGAGTCTTTAGTGCCAAAGACGGGTTGCTGGTCATTTGCATTATGCAGTTCTTGAATTATTTTATCAGTTGTAAGATTAATGTTGCACACTTTCTGTTTTATAGAATGTAATTCTGTCCAGTGCTGCAGAGAAGGTAAGTATGGCTTGCAGTGCTTTGTCTCTGTAGTTGTAAAGCTTCGCTGTGTTTTTAGAACTGAAATAGCAGTGTCAGTATTGCCTGTCTTTAACTGCATTTGCCCATAGCCATTGCTAAAATGTACCCTAGTCATTGGGCTTCAGGTTTTGCCTATATATACTTATATTTGTGCGTTAATTAGAATAAAATGAGTTTATTTTTTTCCCTTTACCTTGTTAAAAATGCTTTTAATGATTTGTTTATATTTTTAGAAACCTATCACAATTTATAAGAACCTTATGAAGTTTACCTATATTTGGATACTTAGTTGTATCTTATTTATTGTAACTAGTTAAAATGTTAATAACATTTTATTTTCCATTTTTCTTCTTTTAGCCTTTGGAAATAAGAGGACCGTATGATGTGGCAAACTTGTATCCTCTTAGTGATCTTTTTAAAAGCATAAAAGCAGTTGATATTAGGTGGAGAGATGCATGTGTCAAGTAGGGAACTTTCAAGAGTCATTTCCCTCCCATCTTGTGGGTCCTGAGCATCAAACTCAGATCATCAGAGTTGGCAGCAGGTGCCTTTACCTGCTGAGCCATCACACTGGACTGGAATTTTCCCTTAGAAAATTGAATCAAAAGTGGTATTGAAGTTTAGCCTGATGTTTTCTTACCCTTTAGTTGTAATTTACTGATCAGTAGCCTCAGAAGCAGATTACAGCAGGCTGTAAACTTCCTCATCCTTCTGGTTTTGAATTAAGCAGCAGAACTGAGAAACAAGGGGCTCTCTCTGTGTGACAAAGACAGTTAAATGGGACTCTCAGCTGTAGGTTTCCATTGGGTAAGACCTGCAGTAGAATTAGTGTGTGTGCTGCTGACCGGGTGAGCTGTCATTTTCATTTGTGTTTGTGTTGGCTCATATCCTTGCCAACCCTGGGTTGAAATCTTTAATAACTTATCAGAGGGCTGCTGTTTGGGCTGTCTGAGAGCGAAGCCAAGGCTGCCGTGTCCACAAATTGCCGAGCTGCGTTTCTCCATGGAGGTGAGCAAGGTCATGTTAGAGTCAGGTCACTAACAAGCAGTTGACACATCTGCTTTTATTGTCCTTTCTGCAGAGTCCTCTAAGACCATCTTTTCTCAGCCAGTTCTAACCATGCACTCTGCTCCTTGCCCTCCTGTTAGACATTACACTTTACTTTCTATAGTGTATGCATTGTAGAGTTTACTTTGCAGGAGTAAACAGTAAATGTGTTCTTTCAAACAACACAGTGTCCCCTGCCTACATCTTCACAGGTTTTTAACATCCATCCTGCTTGCTTCTCTCTGGATGAACTTGCTCCCTGCTAACAATAATGAGTTTCAGAAACAGAAATGGGAATAGTGGTGTTAGTTTGACAGGATCTAAAAGCACCTGGCTTCAGACTCACCTGCTAACGGTTAGCCCCCTGAGAACGTAAGATTGGGTTAATGTGTGTGAGAAAGACCCCTGGGTGGGGTTCCCGATTGGATGAAGTGGAGGAAGCAAGCTGAGCACCAGTGTTGATAGCCTTCTCCCTGACTGTGAAGATGGTTTGACCAGCCACTTCCAGCTCCTGTCTCCCTGAGTTCTCACCATGATGGACTCTACCCTTGAACTGTGGGCTGACAAGCCCATTACTCTCTAAGTTGCTCTTATCAGGGTATTTTGTAACAGGAATAGAAAAACAAAAGAAGCATGCTAAACCATTGAGAAGAAAAACAAACAAAATTTTTTTAAATAATTGTGTGAATCAGACTATCTAAAGTCAGTCTGTAACGTTTGCTTTTATCATAACTCAGAGTGCTTCGTTTCTTGTTTTGGTTTACATGAGCGTGTATCTACTGAGTATATATTTTGGGTGTTTTTTCCCCCCAAGATGTTTTTTGCTTTTGTTTTACTTTATTTTGTTTTATTGCTTATTTGAATATATTATACTAAGTTACATAAGGCCATTTCCTTGTAACTATAATACATGTACTTTGAACATATTCTTCCCCCCATGCCCCTCTACCCTCTTTTTTCTCACCCCATTAGTCCCTTTTGTGCATATTACTCACCAGCAACACAGACACACACACACATAGCTATTAGTCTCTTTGCTCACCCCCCTTAGTCCTCTTTGTTCATAGTCTCCTCCAGTAACCCACATTGGTCCCCTGTGTTCCTTAGACAGTTTCCTTAGATTCCTGGACTTCTGCTTCCATGTGATCTGCACATGTATGATTTATGGACCCATGTAAAATGGAAGGCCCACAAGTGAGGCAGGGCCCTCGTTCCCCTTGCAAGGCTGCTTTTCCTCCTGTTTCCTGGCTGTTCTCTTTCTAGTCGTGTCACTGGCGTTCCCATGGTGTTTCGTTAGTTCATCCAGGCCGTTGATTCTCCTGTGTGCCTTCATTCCTACTATGTGTATTTTTAGGGTACTAATCCCAACATTTGGAACAGTTAAAAATCACTGTTGGGAATCGTTATATAACAGTGTCTGGTCTCTTAGCTTGTTTTTAAGACAGGTTGACCAAATTTAAGTTCAACTCTGCTGCCAAACTGACCTGAGCATGTAAAGTAATTCCTCTTTAACAGTGCAGAAAGGATTGATAAACCTGAGTGTGATTTTATAGTTTGCTCAGCAAGCATTTGTTAGATCAGTGTTGGCTAGCAGGCCATTGGTAGTCAATGCCGCACACGTTCAGAGGGATGTTATGATTTACGAGACTGGTGGCATGTGCTATAAAATGAGCTCAGCACAGCCCTCACTGTGGGAGCAGTACACGTGACTCCTACATCTGTGCTTGTGATTTGTCCGTCTTTCTACCATACATAAAGCAGTCGCTAGACCGGTGCCTATGGCTGGTTCTGACTGCATAGGATGCCATGGGGCGAGCACTGGAGAAGCAGCCCTGCTCTGCAGTTTAACCTAGGAGGTAATCCTTAGGAATGGCCCGGATGTTGAAATGCTGCTCTTTGTGCATGTTGGGAAAAGTGGCATCAGCACTTGTAAGCGCTCTCTGTGGTTTTCTTATTTACTGTGCTGTAGGCCAAAGAAATGGGTTAGTGCTGGTTAAACCACTTCTCCTTAAATTGTATCTTACACCGGGTGTGGTGATGCATGCCTGTAATCCCAGCTCTCAGGAGGCTAAGGCGGGAGGATCGTATAGAAGGAGTTGGACTATAGAAGGAGTTTAAGTCCAGCCTAGGCTAGGTAGTAAGATCCTGTCATTTCTATTTTACAGAAACTAGAAAAACTGCTTTTGGAATTATTTCTACAGTGAAGAAACCCCGGCCATCAGAAGCGGATGATGATTCTCTTCCAGTTAGCAAGAAAGCTAAATGTGAGGGGTGATGAGGGCGCCGTCTCCATCAGCCTCCTCCTCCCATTACAGCTCTTCGTCACAGTGGAAGTAAATTTGTGCTGAGTGGGTATTTTCACTAAACTAGAACCAGCAGTCTAGAAAACAGCTTTATCTCAGACCATAACAGCGGCAAAGAAAATCCAGTGAGGCGTTTTCTAAAGACTGGCAGTTCAGTTCATTTAGATATACTTTAAGATAAAAAGCTTTTTTATCCTCTTTGTGAATAATAAACCATAGTAAATATACCAAAGTAAGATGTTTCAGTATTTTAAGATATTGAAGATAAATAAACTAATGTTTTTCTACTTGATACATATGGATTTTGTATTTTACTATCTGAAAAAAAGTTATTTTGAAAATTTTAAACCCTATTATGTGTCACGTCCACCCTCGACCAGCAAGGAAAAACGCAACGCCCGGAGCTCTTCTTGCAGCAGTTTTCAGGACTTTATTCACAGCAATCTATCTCCTTCTCCTTCTCTTTCTCTCTCTCTCCTCTCTTCTCTCTCCTCTCTCTCCCCGGGCAAACCTCTCCCAATGGGCTGCCAATCCCGGATTGCCAGGTGGGCACTGCCCATAGGCCCACACATATGCAAGCAGCTGATGATCATTGCGTGATCAGGCATAAGTCAGACTTTAGCCATCTCAGGAGTTGATTATACATCTCCATCAGGTGTGACACCACGCAGCTCACTACAATTATGGGGGTCACTTTTATCTGATTGATTTTTTTTTAACCTCTCTTTTATGTATTTGTTGAGTTAAAGTTCTTCCTAAAGGACTGCTGACCTTGTAGAAGCAGAAGAGACACTCACACGAGGTTACTTGTCCCCTTCACTTGCTGCCTTCGAGCAGCAATTAGATGCCTTGTTTTCATTAGAAACTCCTCAGTACCTCATAGTGACTTTCCTAATGGTATACAGTTCAAAGCATTTGACTCGAAAAGAAAAGCTTTGGAATAATTCATTTTTAATAACAAGTTCACCAGGCTGAGTTGAAATTGTTATTTTTGTAAATATGCATTTATGCTGTATTGATGTGAGGACCAAGACATAGTGCAATTAACTGAAAAAATAAAAAGAGTGAAGAGCATTGCTGAGAGCAAACATTAGCAGCGAACAAGCCATGAGCATTGCGAAGCTTAGTCCAGGAATGTAAGAATATCTCCATTTTAAAGTTAGGATATAGCAGCTCTTTTTAATGCATTATGCTTTACCATATTAATAGAAGAAATGAGAGGGAAAAGACTACTCAAATAGATGCCAAAAGATGTGATAAAAATCAATATCTACTCTTAATTCTATACATAATGAAAACCCTTGACAAGTGCAAGGCGTGGTGGTTCCCAACTGTGATCTCAGCACTGGGGAGGCTGGAGCAGGAGGATCGGATCGCACATAGGTACCATAAAGTGAGAACAGTGGAGGAAATGTCATATAGGTGCCTCTGTGTGATTTGTGCACGCACGTAAAGCATGATGGCCTCTGTAAAATCAGACCTCACTGACTGTTTTCATTGAGTACTATTCACAGTGACCAAGATAAGGAACCAGCCTAGACCTCCATCACCAGATGGGTGGATAAGAAAGTGTGGTGCGTACATTGGTTGTTAACTTCGCTAATCAACTTGACAGGATCTAGAATCAACTGCGAGACAGGCCTGTGAGCATGCCTTGAGAGTAATTATCTAGATTAGTTCATAAGGTGGGAAAATTCACCCTGCATGTGAGCGTTACCATTCCATGGGCCAAGGTCCTAGATCTTCATAGAAAGGAGTTGTCGTGAAGTTAGCCTCTAGAGGTACAGACAGCATCACTTTCTGCCTCCTGACTGGATGCACTTGACCAGAGCCTCGTGCTACAGCGGCTGTGCCTTCTCCATGATGGGCTCTCTTCAGCCATAAAAAAAAAATCAAATCAGGACTCCTGCACCTGCTGCTTGTCGTGATGACCTGAACCCCAGACCCCACATGTTAGAGGGAGAAAACTGACTTCTGGCCTCCACATGTACCCCATATTGTCTCTCCCTCCCCACAGTGTCCATGTACCCATACACAAATACATTTAAATGTTTTCTTTCCTTTTATTGAAAGTAGATTTTTACATAATATCTCCTAAGTATGGATTCCCCTCTTCTCCCAGTTCCTCCCACTTCCCCTCTTCAATCCCATTTGAGTCTCTTCATTAGGAAACAAACAGGCTTCTAAGGGATAATAATACAATAAAATAAAAGTAACACATTAGAATAGGATACAACAACAGAAGGGAAAGAGCCCAAGAAAAGGCACAAGAAACAGATATAGACACGGACCCACTCATTTGCATACTCAAAATTTTATGTACCCATAAAATTTTAAAAATTGGAAAAAAAAAGGAAAAGCCCTAACAACATGAGACAAGGAACCTCCAAAGACGACGCTGAGTTCATTTTTGGTTATCCGTCTACTGCTTGGCTTGCAGCCTACCCTTAAGAGTGGTTTATTTCCCCAGTGAAACTCCGTTGGAGAAAACAAAATTTTTATATGCAAGTGACTATCAATCGGAGATTGCTTCTGGGTTAGGGATGGGGGCATGTGCTGTGTTAGTTCTAGGCCCCCATCTGGTGCAGACCCATGCGGGCCCTGTGCATGCTGCCTCAGGTTCTGGGTTCATATGTGTGTCAGCCCAGTTGTGGTTAGAGGACCTTTTATTCTTGGTGTCCTCTTTTTCCTCTGGTTCCTGCACTCTTTCTGCCTCCCTTTCCACAGGGTTCCAGAGCCCTAAGGGGAGACATTTGATGGAAGATCAAATTTAGGGCTGAGTATTCCAAAGTCTGCATGTCTGGCTGTGGGTCTCTGTACTTGATCCCATCTGCTGAAGGAGGAAGCTTCTCTGATGATGTTTGAGCAAAGCAATGATCTGCGTACAGCAGACTATCATTAGGAGTCATTTTATTGCCACTTTTTTTTTTTTAAACTGTAGTATTTGGCTTTACCTTAGGTCCCTGGAATATCCTCAGATTCTTGGTCACCCAAGGTATAGGCTCCATTTCATGGCATGGATCTTTAGTCAAATCAGATGCTGGTTACTCCACAAGCTCTGTTACCTCCATTGCCATCTTGCATGCAGGACACCACTGTAGAACAAAGGATTTGTGGCTAGTTTCTCCTTTGGTAGCATGCAGAGTACCTTCCTGTACCAAAGTTGCTGTCGTGTAAGGGTGAAAGGTCTACGTAGGCTCCAGCTTGGCTTCTCCATGTTGAGTGAGTTGTTTGGATGTTGTCTTCAGCAATGGAGCCTTGCTGTCAGTTTATGGAGAGCAACCTATAGACTTGGCAACAGCTTGGGTTATTTGAGGATTCCCATGGGGCACCTTTGGCCAAGAGTTTGAGTAGATGTAACTCAGTCTCAGTACTGAAAGCTTCATTTGGTGATAGTTGGGGCTCTGTCTCCTTCATTCAAATGAAGGCAATTTCATTCAAACCAGCTTCATGTATGTATGTATTTCAGAAAGCTATTGTACTCAGTTTTCATACTACCCCTCAAATGGTCCTTAATTTTATCTGTCTCTTCATGTATCCCTTCCCTTGTCCTCCTCTTCCCTCCCAATAGAGATTGACCCTACTTGACCCTCTTTTTCCTGTCCCTACCCATCATATCCATAACTATTTGTAATTATCCCATTCTCTCTTTCTAGGGAGATTTATCTGCATCACGCCCAAGTCCCTGACTTTATACCTAATTTCTGTGGTTCTATGGATTATAGCTTGATTGTCATTTATTTAACCGCTAATATCCACAAACAAGCAAATCCATACTATATTTGTCTTCCAGGATCTGGCTTACCTCACGGGGATTTTTTTCTAGTTCCACCCAATTACCTGCAAATTTCTGATTTCATTTTTTTAACAACTGAGTGATATTCCCTTGTGTGAATGTGCTATTTTCTCTGCCCATTCTTCTGTTGAGGGACATCTAGATTGTTTCCAGTTTCTGGCTTTTATGAACAGACCAGCAATGAACATGGTTAAGCAAGTGTCTCTATAGTAGGATGAAGCTTTTGGCTATATACCCAAAAGTGGTGCAGCTGGATTTTAAGTAAGACCAATTCCCATCTTCTTGAGGAACTGCGACACTGATTTCCATAGTGCTGTGCAAGTTTGTACTTCCACCAGAGATGGAGGGGGTATCCTTTACTCCACATCTAGAATGAGCTGCTCACTTTTGTTGTTGATCTTAGCCATTCTGATGGGTGTAAGATGAAATTAAAGTGTTTTGATTCACATTCCCTGATGACTAAGGCTGTTAAACACTTCTTTAAATGTTTTTCAGCCATTTGTGTTTCTTTGAGAATTCTATTTAGATAGTGGTGGTGCACAGCAGTAGGATTTGCTAAAAGATGTGGTGGCAGGAAGGTTACAAGTTCAAGGTCAGCCTGTGCTACAATTTTTTTTAATGATTAAAACAGTAAAGCTGACCATCCTACCAAAAACAACCTATGGTTTCAAAGCATTCCCCATCAAAATTCCAACATAATTCTTTTTTTACATTTTTTTTATTTTTTTACTTTTTAAAAAAATATTTATTTACTTATTTATTATGCATACAATATTCTGTCTGTGTGCATGTCTGCAGGCCAGAAGAGGGCACCAGACCTCTTTACAGATGGTTGTGAGCCACCATGTGGTTGCTGGGAATTGAACTCAGGACCTTTGGAAGAACAGGCAATGCTCTTAACCACTGAGCCATCTCTCCAGCCCCCCAACATAATTCTTCACAGCTCTTGAAAGGCCAGTTCTCAGCTTCATATGGAAACACACACATATACTATAGCTAAAACAAAAATAATGAAACTACTGGAGTTACCACCATCGCTGACCTCAAATTGTACTGCAGAGCTAACATTGGAAGGCCTTGCTGTCTAATCAGAGGTTGCAGTCTAAAAGCTCTGAAGTGAAGACTCCCTCCATCCCCAGTGAAACTTCCTGTTTGCTACCTCCCCTTATCTGCAGAATGTCCCTGGGCCTGGAGGACTGACCTTATCTGAAAGCTGTTTCTAAACCAGATACCCGATTTGTCTCTAGGGTGACCCTTGGCAGAGATTCCTGCTGGAAGCCTCCCTTGCGGCACGTAATGATAACTGAGACCTGCAGCGCTAGGAGCTCTGCTATAGGACCCCACTGCCACATAGGAAACCTTATAATGGGACCATTGCCACTGAATGCGAATTAGGATTTGTCCCCCAAGTATTTTCCTTATAATCTGGAATAACGTTGAGCCGATTTCACCAGCTATCTGGAGGCTTGTAATCCCAGCTACTCAGGAGACCAAGG